CCAGCCCACCCCAACTCCCTCCTTCTACTTCTCTTAACCCTAACCCAACAATCCCACGGCCACAGCCGCCCAGCTCTCTGACTTCGATTCGAGCGGTTCGATTTCAAACATATTACCGGTTCAATCGAGCCGAATGGAACCGTAAACACCCTAATTTTAAAATAGGAAAAGAAAAACATTTTCGGAGGTACGGAGCTCAAGAACTAACTCGCGCTCACTTGGAGCAATTCCAAGTCCCGCCATGGAAGCAACACATCACAGCACTCGTCTTCTCCATCCCATTCCCATTCTGTTCCCTACTAGAACTTCTAAGTTTCGAGGTTAGCTTCCTAAGTTTTAGTTTCCGAGAAAACATAAGAAGAATGACAAAGAATCAAAATTTTATATTCTCCTCTGGCGTGTTTTATTTAATGTCTGTTATAGTGAAACTAGAATGGTTGAAGCGTATTTTTATTTTCTTAATCATTCAACTAAATAAATAGAATGTCCCAAGCACGAATTGTTTTTGTTGAGTTTGTTTCCCTGTTGAATTAGTTTGYAGGTGAAATTACTTTACTTGCTTGAAGATATTTGGAGTGGCAATGAAGTATAGGGCATGTATGTGAACCATTTTCTTCGTTGTTAATCTTTAATACTACATGGAGTCCTTGGCAGTAATTTTAGAGTGAGTTGGGTACCGACTATTTAGCTCAAGTTAAACTGTATGCGAAGGTTCAGAATGGGATGATGGTTATAGCTAAAGAAGGACAATGGGTTGATGACAAAAATGGGATTTGGGTGGAAACATATATCGCATCAGTAGAGCTGCCATTTATTAAGGGGATTTCAGACTTGAATTCATCTAGTAGGACAAAGACACATGAAGCCTTTACGAAAGTGAAACCCAGTTGATGGAGTGGAATTGAAATTTTTTGTTTTGGTAAGGCCTCAAACATGGAAATCAGGCATTTCCAACAACTTTGACAGAATTTATTCTGGCTTTCTCTTGAAATATTTCTTCCAAGGTGATTTCTTGCCTAAAACATGTGTTGTTAGAAGGTAATTTATCAAGTATAAAGCGTGGAGAAGGCTTCCCATCAATAAGAGAGGGGCATTAAGGACCATTCTGGGAATTCTGAGCATTCTGGGCACTTGCACCATCCCTTTTCAACCATATGTCAGTACTTTCTCTCAACACAACCATTCTGGGCACTTGCATGAGGATCAGAGTGCTGAAAGTGCATGCCACTGTTTTAAAGAAAAAATGGAAAGGTACAAAATTCCCATCCACAATTGGACCGTAGAGTTCTGATCTTGTTTCCTTTTTTTAAGTTCAAATTTGTTTTCCATGGGATTTTTCTATTGGAGGAAGGTGTTAAGGGCTTTTCCTATACTTTTCAAAGGATAGATGCAACGTAGTCTTGTATAGTTATCCATAAAACAAATGTGAAAATATACCCATGAGATGAAGCGATGGACAAAGGTTCCCAAAGACTCGAGTGAACTACTTCCAATATTTGCAGCAATTGGAAAGTGTAGAACATGTGACTTTTCGAATTGATAGACACCATAGAAATTTATGGTGCATGTTGTTAGTGATCTGAGAATAGGAATTCAAAAACGGATTTAAGGAAATTTGAGTTGTAAAAAGAGTGACTTGAGTGACATAGGTTCTCTTCCTAGTGAACAACTATATGTTTCATGTGTGTGCCAGGTATTCACCTTTTTTCCATCATCCAKGGATTATTTCCTATTTGTTTGGAGAGAGGTATTCAGTTGGAAATGCCAAATTATTCTTCAGTAGCCTTTAGAGATCTCTTGAGGAAGTAAGCTCCAAAATTTCACTAGCAACTTCAGTCTGCACAGATCCTAGAAGCCAACCTAATAGGGATTGGTCTACTATCTGTAATTTTCCATTCTCCAAACTTGGGATTTCTTACTAGTTTGGTGGAGCCACTCTCTTCACAGATGAACTCTACCAACTTGGGTTTTGTACCAAAGGGGAAATCTATATGCTTTTCTTCTCGAAGTGGAGCAAGGACCATTGATTTTCACAACATACAATTATTCTTATAATTTCATTAATAAAGCGAGAGAGAAAGCTTAGTAGACTGCTGAAGTTGAAGCCTGAACAAGAACATTGGGATTTTGTGGTTGCTGTAGAGTGGTTATGAGACGTGAGTGGAAGTGTTCATCTAAGTGGAGGAGCTAGATTCAGTTGTCTTGGTGGTGTTATGGGTTTTGGTGGCTATGGAGAGAAGAAGATCGTAAATGATGAGTGTGTGCTTGTGATGCTACGATGCCAAGTTAATGAATGTCAAACACAGTGTTTGAAAATGGAGGCTGGCTACTCAGGATATTATTTATATAGTAGTAGCTGTACAGCTGAGCCCTGGGTAGACAACACGTGGCCTGCTACCTTGAATAAAGGAATGAGTAATGCTATTGATGATTACAGATTATTGGGAAAGAATGATCAGTAAAGAAAGGACAACTGATCTAAGAGAGAGGAAAACTAAAGTAAAGGAAGGTTCAATGTCTGTTTGGACTAGGTTGCTGCTTTAACATAAAGTTCTTTTCTATTTCAGTTGAATGGTAGTGTAAACGTGAGATCACCAGCTTGTCCGAATTCCATCTCTTTCTTTATTGCTTATGTTCAAATACATTCCTTTTGAATGAGGAAATACAGTTTGTGTTTTCTTTTTTACTTCAGATATGCTTTCAGTTGCTATAACTATAAGTAAACTTTGGTGGGGTGACCAACAATCAATTTACAATTTGGTTCAGTCTAGGCTAGAACTATAATGTATCACCTCACCACCATATATTTGTTCTATATTTTTTCATCAGGATTAACTGTAACCTGTTAACATTATTGAATATGGAGAAAATATTCATTTTCCTTCCAGAATTAAGATTGCTATACTGAGATGTAATTTATGTTTAACCGATTCTGCTGCTGGCCATGGGAGGTTTCTTTGTTGTACAAAAATGTTTTGCATAGAGTATGTGCTATAGGGCTCACTTTGCCTCTATTGTTCTTTCAGTTGCTGTGGCTTATGATGTTCGATTCTGTAGATTGCAATTTGGTAGATCCTCCACTGTGATTAATTCCAAATCTCTGGAATTCAAGGGAAGAACTCATATSTTATCAAATAGGCATTTTGCCTATAAAGTGAACCAAAAGTCTTTTGAGTGTTTGTCAAATCAGTGCCAAAGCAGCCATTTGAATGTGAAGGCAACTTCTGAACAGTGTCTAGACCTTGAAACTTTTCCACAGGAATCGCAGGATGGGGATGCTTTTCTCACTTCTCCCAATGGCAGTGACTTTGATACCTGGAAACCTAGATCTCAAAAGTTCATGAACAGATTTTTGAATCTTGTACGTCTCCGTTCTGTCCTCAACAATGCTGCTGAATCATTTTTTAAAAGTGAAATACGACGAAGATTATTYGTGACAGCTGTACTAATTGTAATAAGTCGTGTTGGATACTTCATTCCTCTTCCTGGGTTTGATAGGAGGTTAATACCACAAGATTACTTGAGCTTTGTTTCTGGATCTGTTGGTGAGTTCAATAAAATCACTATACATGCGTTAGTTATATACATCACATATTCCTATTATTTCAGAATTCAATTTCATTTCAGACTTTCTGCTTGGGTGATATTGATCGTCTTTTACTACATGTTCATGTGACAGATGAACTTGGTGACTTTACTACAGAGATGAAAATGTCCTTTTTCCAGCTAGGTATCAGTCCTCAGATTATAGCATCAATCATCATGCAGGTTTAATATTTTTCTTCAGATCTATCTTCAATGTCTGTATATTGATGTAGTGAGTGACATACTCGAAGTAGAAGGCATTCGGGAATACTGAAGGGCTTGTTCCCTTTAGAGAAACCTGGCTTCGAAATAGTTCAAAATCTTTCAGAATTGGGAAAGTTATAATTCACATCTACTCAATATAGACAATATTGAAGGGTAAAGCTTTTAAGGAGTAAAAAACCCAAAATCATATTTGGATAACTTTTTTTAGAAGTTCATTATTTGAAAATCACGAGCTTGTGGACATTAATTTTACGCATAAAATATTTAACCATTCCAATTCTTACAAGTTTGAACCTATAATCTAAAAAACATTTCCATTTACAACCTGTTCTTTATAACCATTGGTACCTAGAAATTCATCGGATATTTCTCCTTTCCATCCTTTTGGAGTTTGTGTACTTTGAAGTTGTTTGTTTCTTTTAATAAATTAATGAAAAGTTCATTCCTTTCATTCTTCAATTTTTTTTAATATGAAAAAAGTAAAACCATTGTGTTTACTAATTTTTGGTTAGAAGTCTTTAAATGCTGTTGATCTTCCATTGTATGACTATGGTTAAGGAAGAAGAATACTTTAGCAATTACCTTTGTGTTTTCTAGTTTATTAATCATGCAAATTTTAGGAATGCATTTGGAATTTAGAATGCATCCACTGTTTCCTTTTTGGATATGTTTGTCATTAGCAGTTTAATCACGATAGAATTAAAGCAAGTTCTTACGTATCCACAGAATTGAGGAAACTACTATGCTTTGAAGTTGAGTTTACTTTTTTATCCCTTTTACTTTCCAAGTCTTTTCCATACTCAAGCTGTTCTTCATTTTGCTTTCCATTTTCTGGAAGTTAAAAAACATGTCAGTATTATTTCCTAAGCCAGTAGCGTTGCTCCCCTCTTCTCCAGAATTGAGATAAAAGAACCTTCAAGTTTGCATTTTTCCTTGATGGTATTTTGTCACTTTATGTCACCAACAAAACAACAGGAGCAGAGTTTTTTGGTCCTGACAATTGCTTCCATGATGGGTTTCCATGGCGATACTTCTTGTTTATGAAGTTTAATCTGAAAGTTCATTAGATTTTTGTTTTACTTTTTATTATTATTATTTTTTTATCCATCTAGGACTGAAGTTCAATGCTTAACCTCTCAAAAGTTGATACATAGGTACTCTGTCACATTGTACCCTCTTTGGTAAAGCTAAGAAAAGAAGGCTTGGATGGTCACGAGAAGATTAAAAGTTATATGTACGTCTGATATTCATTTCAACCATCGATATGCATTTTTCTATTTGTTTCGTAATGGACCTTGCTCTTTTTCCTCCTTTATTTTGGGTTGAATTCCTATGATTCCTCGTGTAACAACAGATGGTGGATGTCACTTGGCTTTGCAATTTTGGAGGCTTTAATACTATCTTGTTACTCACTTCCATACTCGATCTATGCAGCAAATCACAGGTAAATTTTGACCATATGAGCATCAGTTTGAACATTATTTTGGGATTCCAAGCAGTTCTATGCATCAAAGTAAAATATTCTTTTCCATACTAATGATATCTGCATTATCTTTTCATTGGTTGCTGCACTTCATTTTTACTCTACTCCAATTTTGGTTTTTGCTTCAAGATTCTCATATTTATTATTATCAGAATTGTTGGTTCAGATACTTTTCTTCATAGAATTGAGGTTGCATACCTTATAAACGATTTTATTCTTAATTTTTATTTTTATTTATTTATTTATATTTTTTTCAGAGTTAAGCATGTCATGGTGACTAGTCTATTATTGGTTTGTGGTGCTATGACAATGACATGGATTTGTGACACAATCTCAGAATCTGGATTCGGTAGGCCTCTTACCCTTTTTCTCATGTAATTTTGGTCACTTGGTTCAATTTTTTGTACTCCATATATACTGTTCAAGATACCGAGAGATTCCTATTTCAAAAAAGAAAAACRTAGAGTTACGCATTTAAAATGAATTCAAATGGTGGATTGTATTTTGTTATTTGTCGTTCGGGTGGTGCTGCTTTGATGTTCAACCATTTAAATCTATTTAAATAGTTTACCTACATGATTGTTGTTTCTTAATTACATTATAAACTAAAAATGATCTTCAGTAATATTGTAAAAAGATGGGAGGCATTATGACTAGTATGTGGATTCTACTGRTACTTACTGGAAAATCATTCTGATTTTTGCTAAAAAGCCAAACGTTTATTAAAAAAGTAAAAAGTACGCAGGGGAGAATTTTCTATTATCGTATTGCAGCTGCAGGTTAAATGAGTCAAGCTTTGCTGCGAGACCTTTCTGTTGTCAATCACAATTTCTTCCTATAGTTTGTATCATGATAATAATGTTCATCCATTAAATGAATACTTCCTTTTTTTTTCCTTTTGAATGAAACAATTTATTCATTTATAACCATCATGGGTGACTTATTGGTCCAAAAGGGCTAGGGTAAATAGAAAAAGAATGAGTTCAAATCCCATGATGACCACCTACCTTAGGAATTAATTCCTATGTATTTCATGGCACCAAATTTGTGTGAACATGTGGGGATTAGGTGTTGTATCCTGAGGGGTTCACTCTCCATTCTATCCTTTATAGATTCAAATTTTGGCTTTCTTATTTTATCCTTTTCCATTTCCATTGTCTATATCTAGGTGATGTGTTATAAGCAACCCCACGAAGTTTCTTTTACCATACTCAAACGTGTTGTGTCTTACTTCTGTGTACAGTATTCTTCTTCTGTGATCAATTAGCAATGCATTTTGCAGGGCAWGGTTCTTCTCTAATTATATGCGTTGGAATACTGACGGGCTATACAGAGACATTGTACAAAATGTTGTCTCAGCTATCAGGTATGCAAATAAACTTGATGGTYTAAAAGTTCTATATCTTATTGGAGTTGCATTTTTTATTTGGATGGTGAAATATCTCTTCTTTTCTGTAAATATTCTTAGTAATAACGGAATAGCTGTGAATGAAATAATGAAGCTTCTTTTACACAACCATAACTCTTTGAAAGATACCACATAAATTCCCACATGCACTTCTTGCTTCTAGTAAGTAAGTTTCAATACTATGAGAAGGAATCCAGTCTAAACATAAAATTTGGAGTGTTGCCGGGTCTTTTCTCAGAGCCTTTTGCTGACTTCTCTGGGTACAAGGTGGGATTTGGAAAAGAAGGTTTTTTTTTTTTTCAATGCTATGAGAAGGAATCCAACCACACAATCAGGGTGCTRTTTTTTTAATAAATAAAAAGTTACGAACTATTTGGTTTTTATTACTACAATCAACACAAGGTCCCCCTTTTTTTTGTCAAAATTTTTATTGTAAGTTTATACCCATTTCCTTCTATGGAGTGAATCTCAAACTTACAGACCTGGTATTGGAAATTGAGTTGTGAGAGCTTTATGCCACCTCTTGGACCTCTCAAAGACTTGGGCGACTTAGTTCTCAACCGAATTCCTATATTCATCTATGGGTGCTCTTAGTTGAGGTGGTTTATGCTTGGAGTATTCAAGACTGGTAATTAGTTTATTTTGTAAGAAAGGTTTATGCTTAAGGATAATGCTTGATGTATATTGTTTATGTGTTTATCAAGGTACAATTATTCTTTTTATTTTTAATTTATTTATTTATATATATATATATATATATATTATAAGAGAGGTACAATTATTCTGGATAGAGTAAATAAACTTCATGTATATATAATTTTTTTTTTAAAACATTTCCATATTTCAGCTTTTTGCTTGCTTAATAATGTAATATATCGCAGGACGTGCTGTGATTTGGTTGCCTTACGTACTTACCTTATTGGGCATCTTTACCATAGTTACGATGTGGGCGGTTGTTGTAACTGAAGGTTGCAGGAAAATTAAGTTGCAGTATTATGGGTTTAAACTTGCTTCAGCTGCAAGGTGTTCTAATTCTTTTTCCTTGAATAGATTTTACTTGTTCCATGCTGCAACACTTTTAGTTTTTTGTTACAATAAGCACATTCATGATGTTGAATGAGACAGATTTTATGCAATCCGTTTAGTTTCATCCCTTTGGTCATACATGCTTTTATTGCTTTCCTTCCACCCGATGTCTGGATTTTGTATCATGCTTAAGCCCATTTCCAATTTTCTCTTTTGGTTCATCGCCTATTGTATGATGCCCTTCTTCTTTTGGTTTTTTGTCCAGAGATGACTCACCAATCACTGAAGTAGAGCCTTATATCCCCTTTAATATCAACCCCGCCGGGATGCAACCAATTCTCACGACCACTTATCTCTTGGCGTCTCCCAGTATCCTTGCTAGGTTGTTATACGAAATATATCCTTTGCTCCCTTTTGATGACTTTAGTTATTTTGCTTTATGTGATTGATACTGAATTTTCTTGTGAAGATAGTGATGCAATTTCTTATATAAAAAAAATAATGCTGAATTTCTAACACCAAGTTTTGTACACAGCCTCCTAAATTCAACATTCTGGGAGCATGTAAAGGAGATACTGAACCCTGAAAGTTCTATTGGTGCAGAGCCTTGGGTTTATTACTCAATATACGCGGTTTTTGTATTCTTATTCAATATATTTGACATTGTAAGTTTCTCTGCCTCATGTCTTACTGCCAACATTTCTTGAATATTACCTTTATTTTTCTTACAAATAACTCCTGCAAAATTATCCTTTTGTATGATGAACTTGCTAGTAGGTTGGTTTCAATCGTGAATACTTGCATATTGTAAGTCCTCTTGAATGCATTTGATTGTCTTGAATAGCTTCTTCACTTCAATTGATTCTTCCTAATTATGCAAATCCGTGGTGATTGTAGACTGCACTCCATACTTTCATGTGTGGATAAATTAAATGATGGTATAGGAATGGTTAATAAACAAATCGAACACTAATGTATCCAAGAAAGGATAAATAAGGGGAAAAAAGGAAATTAGTTATATCAAATTGACAAAGTTATTGACTTCTTGTACACATGTGGTTTATGGTCTCAAACTGATGTCCTTTATACAAATCCATTTGTAATTTTTATATGTTGCTCATTAACTTAGATTTGAGGCCTTTTGATTGACTCCTATAAGGCAAAGGGAAACCTTGTCCCGCTGGCTTTTAGGTTGTTTGGATATTTATTATTTTATACAAGTTATCACGTTTTCTATCTAAAAAGATTTATAATAAAGGTCATAGAAAATTTTACCTTTCAAAATGTGGTAGTAGATACATTTTTGCTTCTGCATCTCTAGAGCATATACTCGAGTATGCCCAAATCATTCTTGTGTCTCAACAGCCTGCAATTCRTGGAATGAGTTATTGAATTTTTAATTTTCTACCCTTGATATTTTTGTCATAGGAAGTAAATCAATTGACTCTTATGGCATCTCATTCATGCACAATATATCAATTGAAACTATATGATGTATGCATGTAACCATATAACAATGAACTTGATTGTCTTATGCTCACACATTTCTTTGTTCGTCCAGGCCAACTTGCCAAAAGAGATATCAGACTATTTAAATAAGATGGGAGCAAGGATACCAAACATTAAACCTGGGAAAGCTACTATCGAGTACCTCACAAAAATTCAAGCATCAACACGCTTTTGGGGTATGTTTTATCATTGACTTTGTGGTTTTAATGCTATTGGCTTTCCTAGCTGACCCATATTTTCATATTTTGGTTGGTTTTTCCTTTTAACTTCGCATTATGGTAAATTTCAGGGGGGCTATTGTTAAGTATTTTGGCAACAACATCATCTGTTCTTGACCATTACTTACGCAGTATTAATGCTGGGTTTGCAATTGGTTTTACATCAGTTCTGATTATTGTAAGTACAAAAATGTTTACCATTACGTTATCATTACTTCAATCCTCGGAAAACACAATGACAATGGTTCTCCCTCTACACACACAAACACGACTAAATTTCTGATAGGCTGTTTTATTTTGCTACAGATAGAYGGTATTTTGATAGAAGTACAAATAATATATACCATGCCAAACTTTTCTAGGGGAAGATTTGCTAGATTAGTTATTTTAACAAACTGTTCAAAATTTCCAACTTTATTGACGAGCTCAAGTTGCTGTACGTTCAGGTGGGTTCCATTATTGAACTCAGAAGATCTTACCAAGCATATAACGTAATGCCAAGTTTAAGCAATGCTTTGAGGCGTTATGGTGTATGACACAATGTCAAGTTCAAATGATACTCCAAGAGCTTATGTATTTGAGCTTCCAAAGGATCCAACAACCTCCTTCAACCAGAATTGTCTGCTTCCTCCTGGCTCAAACCTGAACTTGAATAATGTTTCAGAGTGTCAGAATCGTGTGCATCCATCACCACTAAATGCAAATATCCACAAATTTTTTGTCCTCCAGACTTGAAACACCTAGCGGACAAGGGCACMCACAAGTATTGGAATAACAAAGATACYAAATGCCAGTGTGTTGCTATGCTACAAGATCTCACAATCTTGAGTCTAATTTTGATTGTACTCTCCCAATTTTGTATAAAAATAGCGTGTTGTACGAGAAYGAACATATTTATTAAATTTATGACAATTTACGACCACTAGATTTATTAAGCACCATTTTAGATCTTAACGGCAGTCTTATAATTGTATGAAAGAGACATTATTTTGGTGATTCTACCGATCAACCCTCACCGTGAAAAATATATTATACGCATGTAGAGTGTAGATGTATCAAACATGGGTCTTGCATTTCTTAATCTATACGCAGGCTAATTACATACTCAACAGGAAGAAAAAATACAATGACCTTAAGGTACAATGACTTTAAGGTGTGCATTCCTCCTTTTACCTCATACTTTATCTAGTTCGTAACATTTTATTTTTGTGTAATAGGGATGAGAACTTATGGCTTGCAAAAATTTTGAATCCTCGATTCTCGGCTAATCCTTGATTCATTGCCCAAAATTTCCTGAATGCACGTATTTGCTAATTTTCAGTGCGAGGTATGATTTGTTGTATTGCCCTCTTCACCTCCAAAATGCTTGCTTTCTTCCCATCCGCATTCTCCTTCACCTGATCATAAAACAACATATCACAATCTTAGGAAAGTTATGCTTAGGATATGCACTTGAATTGAATATGTGATCAGTTGCACCATTTGTTGGTATAAGATGCATTAGTGGGCACTATAGACTTTGCACGTCAACAGCCAACATATATGAATTTCATTTTGAGTGACGATGTAGTTGGTCATTATTGAAACTAGTGATGCAGTCATAACTCATATCATATGTAATGTTGAATCAAAGTTGATTGTTTTTGTCCTCAAAAAAAAAAAAAAAAGAGAGAGATTGTTTTATACTATATATACGTACCTTGGCCCGTAGCTCAGCTATAAAAACTCCATGACTCAAGGTTGAGCATACTGTYGTGGTCTCAATCCGAAGCCCTTGGAGAATGAGCAGGATATCCAGCAACAATCCTTCCTTGTATGGGCAGTGGAGCTCCAACAATCCCTCACTTCCTATTATTGAAACCTGCAAATTGGAATCTAGTGAGGTTGGTGAGTTGAGCACTTTGTGCTTTATACATCCATCCCCAACACCCTCCAAAATCCTCAACTTTCTTTTGTCTGAACATGGTTGATCGTATCGAGTCTGATATGCTGCTGCATTCCTTTGTAACTGTTCAAAACCGGACCTCTTAGTGATCTCCAATTCTCGATTTTGAGCTTCTAAATCCTGGATTTTCTGACGAAGTTGTTTCAGGTACTCCACCGTATCCCCCAAAATAGAGACTTTGTCCATTTTGGTGGCAAAAGGTAGAATCGACCTTAAGATGAAAAACTTGTGGTGGAGGTTTTCAGGGTGGCAGAGTGTCTCGGCAAGAAAATGGTTTCCGCTGAGCTGGTCTTGTGACGTCCCCTTCTGCCATCGACCATCACAGGATTTAGATGGATTTTGGTGATGGTGATGTTTGGCATGAAGGAAGGGCACAATGTGTAAAATGTGCTTGAGTAGGCATTGGGATGTGCAAGTGCTAGTGCTTTCCAGGGGAACATGGTGAACATCTGAGCGGCGATTCCACTCGGAGAAGGCTGATTGGATGGAGCAAGTGAGGTTGGCGGCGGAGGATATGGACTGGTTCTGGTTTTGGAGGATGGCTGAGACTGTGCTGGAGTAACGGGTGTCTTCCTCTGTCAGCATTGCCATTGCCGCTGCTGCTTCAAGTTGCGATTAGACATGTGATGTGAAAGTGGTATGATGAAGATGCAATTAAATCGAATTTGGTTACCTGGAGGAGGTGGGTGTTTAAGCGGTGGACGGTACTCAAAGTCAAAGTTGTTGAGGAGGTGTCCTGAGTTAGGGAGAGGGTGGAAATGTGCATCAAAATAAGTATTGTTGGAGRCATCATTATCAGGTGAGGCAGAGCCAAGTGGGATGTGTTCAGATAGCTCAAGTTGCATTGACTTGCTTGGTTCGCCCACACCTACGCTGGAAGGACTGTCATCCTCTTGTCTTCGGATAATGTTACAACAGTAGTGCTCCAAGGAAGTGGAAGCTGAGTTGGAGGTGGAGAGCTCAGAGAGTGCTACTGCTGGTTTTGGTGCTACGGACTGAGTTTCTGCGAAGATAGATTTGATATGTTGTACGAACCCAATGTCTTCTTTGACCTGAAACGTACCCTTTCACTTTCACTTTCACTTTCACTTTCACTTTCATACATATTTTACCTCTAACTATAAACTTAAAACTTGTTCTTCGCTGTCAAATTAACACAGTTGATTATTTTCTCACGACCACAAATTATCCTATAACTTCAACTTATAGAGATGGTACAATAAATAAAATAAAACTACATACCAACTTAGATTATAGACACGGTGAAGTAAAATTATAACAACAATCAGACAAATATATGTAGTATAGGGTTTGTGAAAAAGAAATCCTAGTGTATAACGATGTGACGAGTATAATAGTGAATACAGTGGAATTGAGRTACGAATAGCTTATGGAATTTGACCTTATTAGTGGTGCCGAGTTCAACCACAGCATCCATGAGAGGAATGCAAACCACCGTCTGCAATTGCATGAGAGATTAATGGTACTAATCATAGAGTGGATTTGTATCATGTAGGAGAGATTTGAAAAGGCAATRCATGTGAGAAATTGATGAGATATGAGTAGTGTAGTAGAGTTACCTTTATRCGAGCACTCTGGTGATAAGATGAGGAGGGATTCCACATATCGGAAAGCAACAACAAAATGTGAATACAGAATATATAGATAGAAATGTGTGCAGAGTGCAGGTGTAATGGTTGATAGGATACCTTAGCAAGAAGAGCTCTGGAGAAAATTTTGGTGTGAATCTGATTGGCAGCTGTAATCCAGACGTGTTCGTTGTTGGAAAATGCGTTTCCAGGCAATCTGTAATGTGATTATTGATTAGGAGGATATGGAAGTTGAAGTCGGAGTTGGAGTTGAAGTTGGGCAGTTACCCGATTCCCGGAGGAAAAGAGAAAGAGATGCAGAGCAAATAGAACCACTCCAAGTGGGTCAAGTCCTCCGGGGAGAGGGCGGCGGAGGGAGAAGGGGTGCCGGTGGATAAGGAGTGGTAGAGATCCCTAAGCTGATGGGTTCTGAGAGCGTGAAGATCAGAGGGAGAGGGAGAGGGAGAGGGCGTGGGCGTGGGCGTCGAGTGCAGCGTCTTGGTGGTCTTTATGGGTCCGTTGTAGAACCCATCTCCCCACACCAACGCCCCTCGCTCAGTGCACAATCGCCACACCACACAGTAGCTCCATTCCACGGATTGCGCCGCCAACTGCAACTTCCCCTTCAACTCCAACCCTTCCATGCCTTTCTCCTCCATGTGAGATGTGAGATACCGATCACGCCGGCGCGGGGGCTCCGCAGGGCTTATAATTCAACTCTACAGCCTATAGGTAATAGAAATAGGGGACCATAAATAAAATAATACAGAATTAATATAAAAGATGTGATGTCCCATGGGCCATGTGCGTGAATTGTGAAGGAGCAGATTTGAGGGTTGATGGTTTTGCTAAGGATGCATGAGGTCACTTCACTGGGAGATTTTAATCATCAATGCCTTCACTTCACTTTAATAAATAATAATAATAATAATTTAATTTAATATCATCTCTCCCCAACCACCATTCAATTTTCAACTTTTTATAAACGCTCTCTTACKTACCCCTCATTTATATCTCCTTCTGCTTTACAGTTTCATTTGCACACACATCCTGCTTTTCTTTTCCAAACCAACRCACGTAYAAAACCATATATTTGTCGYAGTAATTGKCATATTYCTCCAACCAAGACTTTTTGGTCAGAATAGGTATCTTAATCACTTGAACTATGTTCGGTTTGGCCAAAACACACATAATATYATTGACTGGGGCACAAATAATATTATTGATTGCGGACTTGTAAAAGTAGCAAAAAATAATAATAAGAATTTGCAAAGTAATGACTTTTTAATTTTGCAAAAATATTAGAATTCAGGTTCAACCTATGTAAAAGAAAGCAAGGTTTGGTAGAGATTAATGAATACATRATCTCAAACAATGATTTAATCCATGATTGATATACCAAATAATATATTTGATTTGATATAATATTAATAAAAGTTTGTAAGGTGAAATCAGAATAACTAAAAAATCAAAAATCATATTTCAAATATTTTATCATATTTACAAAATACAAAATTATTGCTATGGAAAAATAGAACAAATATTTGAACTACACATTACAAATCATCTTTTTTATTTGTAAGCATGTAGCTGAAATAGGCACTAGGGAGATAGCATTGTATTGATTAGGATGATCTAAAATGTGGGCTATATTTGTAGGTGGGAGAATCATATCAAGGCCCAGTTGAAAAGAACCAACTGTCCAAAGTGCTACTCAATACTAGGCCCAAATTTACAACTTTTTCTTTTCACAGCAACACAAACCATTTTTACATAAATATCTAAAAACTCTAATATTTACCATAGGTAAATATTACAAATTTATCTAAATAGAGGCTGGAAGCCTTTAAACAACTTACCCATATTCATATATTTTTAACAAATAAATAAATAGTTTACAAGAAGAATTTTTTTTTTGTCAACCTCCATATAACTCTCTCTTTCTCGCTGCTTCGCCGGAAGGTGTGCCGAAAGTCGACCCACGAACCCACCGATTGAAGAAGTTGACCTCACCTGTATCCACAGGAGCCCCAGCTATTTTGCCAATCTACAATGCCTTAGCCCCCTGACCCTTCCATCACTCTGGCACCGAGCCCCAGGGGAGCCCACCACCACATCGACGACGGCCATGGACTGGGTGCGCCATGAGGTGACCCGTTGTAGAGAAGGTCGTCGCTAGCCACAGGGGTTGTCATCCGGTCTGGTCGTCGCACCATCGTACATGGGTAGCAATCATTGGGGTTGTGCTACAAGGTGAGCCGTTTCAGAGAAAGTTTGGCGCCGTCACAGGGGTTGCTGTTGTTAGGTCGCTTCGTCGCAAGGGTTCACACCGTTAGGCCATGGGTCATCGCCGCAGGTCTGGGCTGCGCTACCGCATGTCGTCGCCAACGAAGAGGGGGTGGGCGGCGGGAGTATAATGAGAATCAGGAAGTGAACGAAAGATTAGGGCTTTCAAAAGGAAAACAAGACATGACCTATTTTGTGGAGGCTATGTGTTGTGTTGTTACGTAGTATGAGTTGGGTATATGTTTCTTTTAATTAAATTAGATTTTTTGTATTTAATTCCTTGGTCTAGAACCGTGAATGATGAATCCTAAATCTTACGGCGTGTATATTGGATATAAAGTATGAAGTTAATATGGAGAATATTTTGGATATATATAGGTATATATATATTTTATAATTTAATATTTTAATATACAGCATGTATATACCATATAATAGATTTGGATGACTATATTATTATCAGACTGTAGGTTAGATTAAAAAATATATATTATATAACTTCGTAGTTTATGATCTATACCCGATAAAAAGTATATATTATACAATTTTTTGGACAAGTATATCTTTATCATATTGTATATTAGATTAAAATGGAAAATATATTATATAATAGACACTGGAATAATTTATAGTTGTCGAAAAATTAATGTTAGTCAAAAACAGAAAAGTGAAACAAATAGCAGGAAAACCAATGGGTCACTAGAACAATTCAGATCCACGGTAAATCGGTAAAGTTGCCGCCTTAAGCTTGAGAAACTAAGTAATGATCGGAAGTTTAAAAAAAATGTTGAAAAAAATAATATATACCAGAAGATTCAAAAAATAACCGTCGAAAATTAAGCAATAATAAGTACATTGATTAGTTACTATATTTGTTTAATTATTTATTATAATATTATCATTTAATCATTTATGTAAATATTTACATTAAATGAATATCAATTATCATTAGAAAATAATAATATTTATAATAATAAATATAATAGAATGACATTTATTGATAGCAAATTTGAGGAAAAAAAACTTATTTAAATCTTGAAAATCTAGATTTATAAATATTTTAAATAATAGACATTTCTAAAATATGACGTGTAAATATGATTTATTATAGACAACTTCTATTTCTTTTCATGCAGATTTAAACTAACAATCTTTTTTATTAGAAATAGGTGTCTCAACTAATTGTAATTCTCAACTTTGTACCGATGTACCATGTTTATTCATTATTTTTAGCATGAGTTAATTACAAATTTTATAAATGGTTGTTAAAAGACATAATACTTGGGAGTGCTTTTCTCTTTCTTTTTATTTATTTATTTTTATTTAACGAATGTGAGTTACAATTTTTGGTTTTATAAATTTAAACTGATCATTACATAAAATTAGAAAAAAATCAGAGTAATATCTATATCCATATTTGGCACGATGGTGAGAAATTTTATCTCCTCGTTTTGCCTTTTAATTTTAATAATTTTCTTTAAGGTATTCTTGTCATTCATCTCCCTCACTCTCTCTCGAACTCCTACAACTCCTAAATGGGGACAGGAATAACAGAAAATGCATTCCTCGTCTCCCACCTCGTATTTTTTAATATATATATATAGATACATACATACATATTAAAAAATCTTTTTATTCTTTCTCTACTTACATATACTAATAAAACTGTATTTTTCTCTACCACTAAATATATAAAAGAAAATTAGACCATGTGAACAAAGTTTTTATTGTTGAAAATTAATTAATTAATTAGAAATTTCCTTAGAAAAATATTTAATTGAAAAATATTTTTAAAGTAAAAGAATAAACGGAAAAAAATCCCCATGGGAAACTCGATCCCCGTGCAATTTCGTGGGAAATTTCGCGGGGATGGAGAATTAAATAGAGGCAGGGATGAGGACAGGGAAACCATGAATAGAAAACCCGATCCCCGCCCCGCCCCATGAACATTCTTACTTTCCACGCCACCCTCCCTCTCCAAATTTTCTCAAATTCCACTAATTCTTTTCTCCCCTTTTTCTCTATTCTTAATTTCCAAATATTTTCTGTCATTTATAAATTTCACTTTTTTCAAACAATTTTCTCTCTCTCGCAACAACTTCATTTATCTTTCTTAATACTTTTGTTATTTTTCTTTTCCGTTCACTTTTGGATTTTTTTATCCATCTATACAAAATCCTTATTCAAATTATCATTTATTTAAATTTATTTGGAATTTATAAAGGTGGAGAGATAATACTCTAGAAAGAGAGAGAAATTAGAAGGATGTGAAATGGAGAAAGAAAAAAAAAACTATAAAGATTGAGAGATAGTATTAAGAAAGAGAGACACAGTTAAAGGAATCGAGAGGGAGAAATTCATATTTGAAAAATAAAATTAGTCTTAAAGTAATAGTAATAAAATGATAAATTTTACGGGAGCCGTGTTGACTAATAAAACTAAAAAGGTTGGACATGCATTGCACATGTGTATTATAAAATCTGAGTTCAATTCTAAATACGATAGGAATAAATGAACCTGCCTATTTTGAGTAAAATTAGTGTTTCACTCCAAATTTTTATCTAGAATTAGCCGATTTATGTGGTTAAGTTTGACCATTAGTGAAAGAGAAAGAGAAAAAGAAAATGTTTTGATTTTATGAAAACTATATTTTGACTAGGATAGTAAATACGATAATTATAAATAAGTTTGACATTATAATTAAAAGGATTCCAATGGACTATATTTTTCCACTTTCTTCTAGAATATGCATATAGATAAAAACAAAAATATAAAAATAAATAGAATGGGCCATAGTGCAATTATATATTATGATGAATTAGATTTGAGTTTGAAAATGAGAGGAAAGGAATGGTGGGCCCATGGATGTGCATTATCGTTTTCCATGGTTATTGGTTTAATAGTGATGTGACTTTGGATACCAAAAATGGGTAAAAAAGATATTATTATTAGATGAAAGAAATAAGATTACACAGTAGAGAATATGGTGTGAATATGATTTAGTGGAGAGTCCACTACTAATTCTGGGGTAATGGTTCTGTCTGTTAGCAAAGGATTGGTGTAATTAGGGTTTCTGAGAAATTTTTACTGTACAGTATCCAGTGTAATTTTTTATTTAGGACTTTGCATTTTGTTAGTTTGGATGCTTCCAAGTAAAATTAAATATATATCAATTATCACTAACCACAACCAAAAGGAACAAGGTTAATTAAGAGGGAATGAGCTCAAATGTGACGATGACTACCTATTTTAGAAATTAATAATTCTTATGTGTTTCCAAACTACGCATGGACCCTCACGGATATCATAATAATAATAATAATAATAATAATAATAATAGTGATATATTGTTTATTTATATATGTGATGTAAAAAGAATAAAAAGGCCAATAATGAATATGTCCAAAAATACAATATAATATATACAATGATATATGTATGCACTTGGGGTTTGGACGGTTTGTGTAATAAGAATTTTCTTGCCACCAATTATTAGCATTTAGCAATCCTAT